TCTCTCTCTCTCTCTCTCTCTCTCTCTCTCTCTCTCTCTCTCTCTCTCTCTCTCTCTCTCTCTCTTCTTCTGAATCGCAGCGTGAAAAAAGACGATCGCGGCACGCTTTGTGGATGCTCCCACGTCGATCACCCCTCTCGACATTAATATCCTGAGCACGATAAGTACGCGCCCTTACGGCACTCTGTCTGATAGCGGGCCGTTTATTAATATACAAGCAAACGGAATTAGCTCGGAGTATTTGAACAGGCCGACGTGTAGGGAGCGGGGGAGGGCGAGGGCGCGTGGGCTCGGGAGCGAAAAGACGCTTTGATGATGATGCTGCTAGCGGCGAGGGTCAAAACTCGCGCAAAGGGCGCCCTGAAAGATACACGCTACGCTCCATCGCCATATTATATATTCTATCTCGACCACGGCGTCTTCCAATGAAAGAAGCACGAGGGAGGGAGTGGGGGGCGCGCTATAGGAATTAATCAGGAGCGCCGCGTGTACGCGAATGATTCCTCGTTTTACTTCATATTGATTGTGAATTTCGCATGGGATCCTACGTCCGACAAGGAGAGCCACGAGAGGACCCTCGTCCTGCAATTTTCACCTTCGAGAATCGAGCGCATCATGTTCTGGTTTCTCTTGTTTCTACTTCTTTTCTCGCTCGCGATCCTCGGAGGGAAGATACACGAAGCTCCTCTCGCCTCATCGAGACATCGATAACGAGAAGTTAAAAGAAAAGAAAAGGAGGGGAAGGAAGCAAAGAGGCTTCCGTTGAAATCGCGTGCGGAAGACCGACCACGACGGCGCTCTTCGATTTGGCTCTCGCTACTTGGCTCGAGAAGCTAATTTCCATGTCGAAGAAATCGTAATCCGAGCGCGAAACCGTGGAGAGACGACGGGCTTGTCTTACGCGTCTCTTTCGAGAGTATCGATCTGCGCTTCGCTAGACGGAGTCACGGAAATCAACGATCATATATATAGAGGGAATGATATGGTAAAAATTACTACAGGACTTTGTAACGGAGGAATAGTTCGGTACATTTTCCTTCAGCTTATATACAAAGCTAAGAAAGAGACTTTACAATTATATCGCTTAACTACACATCTCCATCTATTTCTTATCTCTACTTATCAATTTACCTATATTGCCCTACATTGTAACGTTGCCTCTCTCTAATTGACTTTACAACATCACCCTTCACTAAGAGAATGTCCTTAATCTTTTTTCATAATCTTCTTAATTTTCATCTAATCTTTAGACTACCTACACCTTCTCCTTATCTATAATGTCTAATTATACTATTTCACTCAACCACATCGTCCGTATATAGAATAAAAAAACTCTGTCCTCCTCTTCAATTATATATACCTATCTCTTTATTTTTCTTCTTCCCATGCGATCTCTTCG